AGGTCATGATCCCAGGGTCCTGGGATCGAGCTCCCCACTGGGCTCCCTGCTCCGCGGGAAGCCTCCTACTCCCTCTCCCACTCCCCCTGCTTGTGTTCCCTGTCTCGCTGTGTCTCTCTCTGTCAAATAAATAAAATCTTTTAAAAAAATAAAAATAAATTAGGAAGAGTCGGGGCGCCTGGGTGGCTCAGTCGTTAAGCGTCTGCCTTCGGCTCCGGTCATGATCCCAGGGTCTTGGGATCGAGCCCCGCATGAGGCTCCCTGCTCAGCGGGAAGCCTGCTTCTCCCTCTCCCACTCCCCCTGCTTGTGTTCCCTCTCTCGATGTGTCTCTCTCTCTCTCTGTCAAATAAATAAAATCTTAAACAAACTAGGTAATACATAATTGGGCTAAAAAAATGATTATAAAAGGGGCCCTGGGAAAAGGTAACCCCTCTCTCTCCCTGCTGGCCCCCACGCTGACATTGGTGGTTTCTGGATCTCTCCAGGGGCAGGAACACGTTCTTACGAATGGCTTTGCCATCACACCATCCACTTCTGCGTAGTCAGTGCCTTTTTCACTTGAGCCTGTATCTTGGGGAGGGATCTCTGTCTCCTTCTATGTGGGAGACATCCCACCCCTCTCCCGGCAAGGTTCCCAACCCTGAGCAGAGTGCTTCAGAGCCCAGACTCTGAAGCTAGATGACCTAGTTCCAATCCTGGCTCTAAACTCCTCTAACCCTAAACCAGCTATGTGTCCCCGGGTGGGTGTCTTAAGGTGTCTGTGTTTCCGTCTCTTCCTGTGGTAGAGACCCTGCAATTGTTGACTAGAAACAGCCACGGTGAGCCCTGTGTGCTTGTTAGCTGGTGTTACAACGTGGCGATGGGCGTTGTTTGCGGTTGTATTGGGTTCCATTGCCCCACATTCCACAGCTGACCTCGCCAGTCCCGCACTGACGGGACGTGGGTTTTTCTGGGGTTGTGACATGGCAGCAATATGGTAGTGACTGTCCTGGCACTCAGTTTTGGCCAGGTGTGTAGACTCCTAGGAATCCCCGGGTAAGAGGGACGTGTGCTTCTAGTTTGGGACAGTTGCCAAATTGTGGTCCCCAAAGGCTGGACTGGACTTGCAGCAGGGCTGCGTACGGAAGGGCCAGTCTCCCCACATCCTCTCCAGGAGGTCGGTTATCAGACTTTGATCTTGGGGGAAAAATGACATCTCAGTGTTTTTCACTTACTGTGAGTGAGGCTCAGCGTCTCAGTGTGTGAGTATTAGGAATGCCCCCTGCCTTTGGCATGATTCCTGTTGGTCTTTTTTTACTGAGGCTGGATGGCGCCATGGTGAGTGGAATGGGTCCTGAACCATACTGTCTTTCTCTGAGCCCAGGTGCTCCATTCACTTACTCGAGTGACTGACCTTGGGCAAGCTCCTCAGTGTCACCTGTAAAGTGGGAGACAGTGACGGTACACCTGTGTGATAGGGTGGTTGTGCTGAGAACTGCGTCTGCTGGATAACATATGCTGTGTAAATACTATTGATTTGTAGGAGCTCTTTACATATTAAGGAAAGCTCTTTTGTGATGGCTTGCAAATAGTTCCTCTGAGATTGTTTACTTTTCTATTGTAGTTGTGTGACCCTACGGAATAGGGATGTTTATCAGGTGATGTGGTTGCTGGGGGTGGGTTGTACTCTGCCCTGAGGAGGGCCCCCCCCCCCCCGACCCATGGAGAGGTGGCTGGAGCTTGTGGCCTTCTGTGTGGTAGATGGTATCTGGACATGCCCTTGCCCAGGGAGGGTGGCCACTGCAGGAATCAGGATTAGGACTGTGCCCGGCACGGCCCAGGAGGGGGGCTGATGCTCACAGTCCTCACCGACAGTGACCCTCCCCCTCCCAAGGCCGGCTGTTCCCACAGCTGGACGTGACTCACTCGCAGCCGGCCCGGCCGCAGACGGAGCCAGCCCACCTCCTGCTGACTTACTCAAGGGCCTTTCTGGGCAGTGCCAGTCCTCCGCCTTGCCTTTCCTTGCTGAGAGGGGCCTTGGGCCTGGGGGGAAGGTGGGCAGGATGCGGACTGGGTGGCAGCCCCTCGGTACCAGGTTCCAAGCTGGGGGCCGATGAGTAGGCCTGACGGTCCAGGTGGTTCTGGAAATGCCCGCAAAGTTGCGTTACTGTTGTTTCATCTATCTTTTTTTTTTTTAAAGATTTTATTTATTTGAGAGAGAGAATGAGAGAGAGAGAGAGAGCACATGAGAGGGGGGAGGGTCAGAGGGAGAAGCAGAC